GCTGCCTCTTTATTTATACTTCTTCGGAGGTACCCGGGCCTGCTTCAAAACGTGTGGGCCTGGGCCAAAACGTGTGGCCCAGGGAAGCTTCCAGACGTTTGGCGTTCTGGCCAAAACGTGTGGAATCCACAGCGTGGTCCAGAACCTTCCCCACGTGCAGCCCCTACCCCTGGTACTTGCTGACTGGAATGGCCTACAGGGACCTACGACCTTCTAGAGCCTACAGACTTACAGACAGACTCTAGGCCTCAATAGACTCAGATAGAGACTTCTAGAACAGACCTTCCTAAGCCTAACAGTAGCAGACCTAACTCCCTAATCTACAGACCTAGGGATCGAGTCTCACACAGATCGCTGGGCCTATGTACAGGGTACAGGGTACGTCTAAGGATTGAATCTCACTCAGCACACAGGGTCAATGTACAGGGTTTGGGCACCGGTCTAGGGATCGAATCTCTGTGTCTCCAAATGTCGGGTCGACTGGGTGAAACCATTTCACTCCCACCGTCCTAAATTCGAGGTCCTCCTGGAACACTCTAACTCAAGATAGGACCTTTACCCTTTCTTTCTCTCTCATAAGCGTGTACTATGTCGGGAGCGGTTTCTAAGAGCTCTGTTCTGGTAAACCATCGGTCGTTCTCGGGTTCCTGATATGCGAACCTGACCTTATACTGTTTTTGGGGACGACCTCGACCTCCTGTCCTGAACATGTCCTCTTCCACTATGCGATCTATATCGTATGCACCATCCATATCTGGCGGAATCATCGATCTCCTGGAAGGGAATCTGTCGGACGTGGTACAAGGCAACAACTTGGACGCATGGAAGACTGGGTACGTGTGGAGGTGTGCTGGGATCTCTATTGTGTATGACGGGCCGCCCTCTCCTCCTTTGATTTCTAGGACATGCCATGGTCCTCTATACGCAGGTAAGAACTTTTGCGAGATGTTTTCCTCTGGTGCGAACTCCTTTAACTTGACCCAGACTAGATCGCCTACCTGAAACTGTGAAGGTTGGCGGTGCTTGTTAGATTGCTCTATCATCCGATGTTGGGCTTTTCTGAGATTGTCTATGACCTTAGCGACTTCCTTCTCGTGCTGTAACGCAAACTCCCGTGTGCCGGGTGGTAGTCTCTATATCTGGTCCCGGTTTAGTCCCTCAAACGGTTGCCTAGGTCTAACGGACTTATGTAGCTCATTAGGAGTCCTGCAAGTAGCTAGGTGGACATTATTATTGTAGGCGCTTGCTACTTTGGGAAGCATCTCATCCCAGTTTACCTGACCTGGTCTAATATACATTCTGAGTAGCTGTTGCAAGATCTTATTCATCTGCTCTGTCTGACCATTATACTCTGGGTGTCGTCCTGACGACATTAGCAACTTAGACCCATAGACTTTCATAAGATCCTGCCAATTTTAACTAGTAAACCGCGTGTCCCTATCACTAACTATGGACAGCGGCATGCCATGCTCGCTTACCCAGAAGTCGAAAAACTTACTAATGACTAAGTTTGTACGTGCCTCTGAAGGCAGGGGAACAAATACTGCATACTTGCTAAATCTATCTGCTATGACCATGACTTGAGTCTTGTCGTGCCTACTTTTGACCCCAATATCCATGAAGTCGATGGAAACTGAATCTTCGGGTCCTGATGGAATAGGCAAGGGTCTAAGGAGACCTAGAGGGGCTCTGGTTGTAGTCTTATTACGCTGACACACCTTGCAGCTGCGCACATACTCTATGCAGTCTGCTTCCATTCCTGGCCACGTGTATGACATCATCAGAGCTAAGGTCTTTTGCCATCCGAAGTGTCCTTCCGTATCGTGGCATTCCCCTAGGATTAAACTGCGGAACTCTTCACTGTTGGGGATGCACAGTCTGTCAGCAACATTGGTCTTCTCAAACAGTAGCCCGTTCATGGTTCAGTAGTGTGGCTCACTATCTGGGGCTTCTTCTACTCTCTTCAACAGCTCATTGTAGATCAGGTCTTGTGCATAGGCATCTCTTACTTTCTGCTGCAGATCGGCCCCTATGTCTAGATAGTGTACTATTGCGCCGAAGTAATCAACTCTTCTACTTAGAGCATCAGCTACCACGTTATACTTTCCTTTTGTTGGCTTTAACTCAAAGTCAGATTGGTCTATCTCAGCAGCCCATCTAGTCAACTTGGGCGTCATCTTGGCCTGTGTCTTTAGCCATCGAAGAGTCTCGTGATCAGAATATACCTTGAAGTGCCTCCCAAGCAGGTAGTGTTTCCAGTGATCTAAGGCCTGCCTGAGAGCGTAGAGTTCCCTCTCGTATGTCGATGCTGCTACCTTTTCTGAGGGTTGGCTGACATGAACTCTACAGGTCTATATCCATTGTCGTCATCTTGTTGTAACACGGCACCTATACCATACTGACTAGCGTCTGTAGTAACAACAAAGGGTAATGACGGATCAACAACTTTGAGGACAGGATATCCTATTAGGGCCTTCTTCAATTTCTTGAAGGGTGGCGTACAATTCTGACCCCACTTCCAGATAGTCTCTTTCTTCAGCAACCTACGAAGGGGAGCAGCGATCGTGGAGAAGTTCCTCACAAACTTCCTATAGTAGTTAGCCAGTCCTAAGAATGAGCGCAACTTTGTCAGCGTCTTAGGAGTCGACCAATCTCTAATGGATGCTATCTTGTTGTCCTCAGGCCGAATGTCGTCGCTGTTTAGTACAT